AGTTAGAACAAAGAGGGTTTTGTCAAATATAAAATCCTTTTATAGGCGTTTGATGTTTGATGTGTCAAGTTAAAATTTCAGATATCTAAAACTGTTGTAGTGACCTATTTTATTACTCATCATCGCAGTATACTTTCACTATGTAATTGTACTTCGATTTGTTTATTACTCTAAATCTTGCATGTTTACAATTGATACCTTTTGTGCTCGCTCGATTTTTGAATTTTGATTGCTGCAATAATACACTATCGTATTCCTTCGCAAGTGCCTTTTGAATTACGTTGTGGATGTCGAGTAATCACAACGTTAGCACAATTATAAACGCGAAGAAGTACTAAGATGAACGTGTACGCTAGTGTAGTCAAAATATAGCAGCACAACAAATTGGTGAGCCCGACATAGCTGATTGATGGACTACATTATTTCGAAGTATACACAGTGGAATAAATCATCTTTGCCATCGCATTAACTTTTATAACTTCATAACATTTGGATGTATAATTACTGGTATTTCTGCTAAATGTACCTCCGGACCTGGCGGCACAGCGACTGCTATCCCAAATCACCCTGATACTCAAGCAACTGTAGCAGCTGGCTGTTATGCAACACCTCAATTCCAGTTCTCTGTCCTCAAGCTTCAGCATTGTCTACAGGTGTGCAAACACTCTTACAATGGTCTGCAACTCCATTTACTCAAGCCGGTCCTACAGCTGTTCAATTACAACAGTTTATCCAATCACCTCAACAACAACAGATTCAAGCACAAGCTCATCAGTTACAACCAGCTCAACAGCAAGCTTATATCCAACAACATCAGCAACAAGCAACAATGATGGCAACTAATGTCTCTGTCAGTGGTCAACCTTGTACTGTAGCTGCACGCTCCTATGCTACTCCCCAGTTTATCATTCTGGTACCAGGAGCTCCATTGAAAGTCATGACTGTTGGTCCTAACGGTCAGTCGATTCAAACCACTGGTATACCATAGTTTACGCCCACTGCTTCTGCTGGAATGCCTATCAATCAAGCAACTGCTACTCTCCAACCTCAGCAAACATCAATTCAAGTACTCCTCAACGCTGAGGAACAACACCCCAGCAACAACAACAACATACTGACGGACGTTCACTTTCAACCATATCAGCAGCAGCTACTGCTGCACTCTTCTCTGGCACAGCCATCTCTTCTTGTACAATTCCACTTGTACAACCAGCTTTCATGGAAATAGAGGTAACTGAATGTTTACCCAAGTCATACCCATACTTCCGTATTACTATACTATTAACGGTATGTAAGATATAAATCTATTCTGTAACTCCTTACAATAACAATCCCATTATTATTCTAATAATTTTTCTAGATTTATTGTTACATTTTGCACAACTTTCTAAACATTTTGGTTCGTTTCGAAGTTGTTAACATTTTTGCATATATACAGTTATATTATCAAACCTCAAAAACTTAAAATCCTCAATTCGGTTTTCATACCAGAAACTCGTATATATTTCTTCTGTAATTGTAATTTACAATATCATTGCGAATACAGGTGAACTTCATTTACCTGCATTCTACGGAGGGGCTATTGTAGTGACCTATTTTATTACTCATCATCGCAGTATACTTTCACTATGTAATTGTACTTCGATTTGTTTATTACTCTAAATCTTGCATGTTTACAATTGATACCTTTTGTGCTCGCTCGATTTTTGAATTTTGATTGCTGCAATAATACACTATCGTATTCCTTCGCAAGTGCCTTTTGAATTACGTTGTGGATGTCGAGTAATCACAACGTTAGCACAATTATAAACGCGAAGAAGTACTAAGATGAACGTGTACGCTAGTGTAGTCAAAATATAGCAGCACAACACTGTTAACCAGAATACGAGTTTCAGTGCACATAGTCTTGTCAATTTTTAATAGCCGTTTATATATTGATGTAGAATTGTAGTTGGTTGAAGTGAATTTTTGTTTTTTGATTTTCTTATCACTCAGCAGAACTTTGTAGATTTCTCATGAATAATCATGCAAATAATTCATTTTCACATTTGTTCAACCACGACAGCGATGTCGTTCGGCCTCGTTTTCTGTTTGCTTATCTTGCTTATCACTTGCAATGAAAATCTGTCAAGTGAGTTTCAATGGCTTTTACATAAGAGATGAATGGAGAAGATGTTTGAGCCTCACACATACTATTCACTAGTAATTGTGATTCCTTGTTGATATATTTCGAGATTGGATCGATCAGTTTGACTTTTTTGCCGGAAACTGATTGACATTATATCCTCTTCAAGGAATTCCGATTTAAATGAACTTGCCTGTCACTCAGGGTCAGCGGAATGAGAACAACACATCAATGACAGCTATCCTGTGTATGATTTATTTCCATTAGCAAAATGTCTATCCGTGGTTCATGTGGAAGTGAGAAACGCTTGAGGAAATTCTTTCCGTCTACACCATCAATGACTCGTTCGATTCCTATAAAAAACAGAAACGTTTAACTGTATGACATTTGGACAGATTTGACGTAATACAACTTGACTTGAATCACTGGCTTATATCCAACCGTAAGCAGTTCATTTCGAATCAGCCAAATACATACATGGATGTGACTGACAGTGAGACAGTCATATCATCAACGTGTCAGGAGAAGTTGACTCCTTCTTAAACGTTTAAGTCGTATGAGACGAAATATGCAACATTAGAGAAGTGTCTAACCGCCAATCTGGCCTACATGTTGGAAAAATGTTCTGTTCAAGTACATATTCCAAGCTAGACCAGCATCAGTTAGCCGATTCAAATGCATGTGAAATCCCAAGAATATACTTGACACAGGATAACGGTTGCCAATTAGGATTCTTGAATACGTGCTGGAGAGTCTAAGTGGTTCAGTGGCTCAACTCCGTCCATCAGCGTCACTTCTCAGCACCTGGTTGGAACAGGTGACAATATCAACATACTGACATGTGTTACGGTGATGATGAACAGACAGATCACTCCAAAATGAATTCAAATACCTGCTGCTGTCATCTTCGAATTATTCAAGCATGAATTGTCTTCAGAAAAAGAAGACTGCTGTCAGCTTATCACTAACTTTGTAAGCGAACATTGTTTCAACTCGACTCAATGATCTCGTGGTAATAGTACTAGTAGCAGTTGCAGTCAGTCCGTATCACAGTCAGTGTCAATGAGGAATATAGGACCTGTGAAACCTGCGTTACTTAATTCAACCTCAATAGATTTTCTGCGAACAATGTTAGCTATAGCACACAACGCAGTCAGACCCACGCATGTAGTATGGACGAATACATTGTTGTTCCTCAAATGAAGTGTGTAAGATTATGAAGAGAAGATGATTGAGGCAGTGAGACTTGTCCTTCTTAATTAATTTCATTTTACAACGTGAAATGTCATGTTGTCAGATTCCACACAATGCTACTTAACGTTTTTGTTTTCATTATATTTGCCTACTAATCACATAATCTCACACTATTTTCAACTTCTACATATATATCCTATGAGCTATTATATTTGTGGCACTCACTGTTTTGCCACTTCACACTGAAAGATAATTATGACATAAAATTTTCTGACATTATATTGCATTTCATGCTTTTGTTGCTATTATCTTATGTATACACTCGCATGACTGAATTCCCTCACCGTATAGAATTTTGCAAGAAGCATATCATATATGACTGCGTGGCTTGACAGTAAATTCGCTGTTGAAAAGAGTTTCTCCACTGAATCTCTTCGTTTGTGTTTTATTTTAGGTGAACCAATGAACTGAAAATAGTATTCAGGTAGATAACAAAACATAATTTTGTGTAGATTGTCTAGGATGAGGCAGCAGATTTACGATAAACAAGACACCTTGTTATTTCTCGTTGTGTATTGTGTCCGTTTGTTTGTTATATGATTGGATGTTGAATATGATTAGTGTAGAGGTGCAATGTCCCTGTGGTTTGGTCTAGTGGTCTGAGGTATTGATTTGTTTAAGGTAACAGTCCGAAATGTTGTCGGTTGGAGTGTCACCTCCATCATGTGATTTTTTTAGCGTTCACCGGAGCATTTACCGCCATGACAATAACAGTAATGTATAAAGTGAAGAAAAACCCAAAGACGGTAGTATGCTATCGACTGCTTCGCTCTTCGAAGCTTTATCCACTCATTTGGAAAAACCTGAGCTAAACATACAAAACGAAATTATTCTACCACTCCTAATTTCATGGGAATAAACGTTTTGCTTCCTTTCAAACTGATTCCCATTTCTTTGTTGGTTTGTCTGCTCTTATACCTCTTTTATTTCTACACAGCTCACTCTCACATAATTCGTCACATTTGCCTTCGTTTCAATGTACATCGTGATCACGACTTACTAAATCATTGAATTGTTCATCTTGATACATCACTCGAATACAGTTGATCAACTCCTTCGATGCAACAAGAACAACAACAACTGTGATCGTGACAGCTGATCAATTCTGTTGCTATCGTCTTTCATGAAAAACAAAATTGTGCATAAATGTAATTGCACATCGGAAGCGGGGTATGAATCCTCCGAGAAGTGCCACCACTCTGAACTATATGTGTTCTGTTTCCATAAGCATGTCTGCAAGGCGATATATTTCATAAAAATTTCAGCAACATTGAATTTTCCGCCATACCCACAAATTGTCTACATGAATACTCAATTCAACTTGAATGTCGGTCGGATTCTTCCGGCTAATCAGCACTTCCATACTGTAAATGTCTCTTCATGAAAAAAACAAAAACAAAAAGCAACTCGACATGAATTACACTCATGAAGCGCTGAAATCAATCATACAATATGACTAACTCAACATACAAGACCATTTCCCTTGTGTTATTAGGAAGAAAAGAGTTCTTGAATATATGAATTTATTCGCGAAAGATCTGGTTTCTTCAGAAAGAGAAAATAAGAATATTGATTAATGAGAAACATTTAAGCAGAGAGTTTTTGGATGAGCACAGTTGAAGGTATTTTTCAGTTATGCACTGAGAGTATGGAGTGTGTTATTTTGCCAATGGTCACTGCAGATCCAATAGGGGGTGGTGGTTTGCACAGCCATACTTTATCGTTTTAGATTACCAAGTAGTCTATCAAGTATTACCTTTTCGAATGGAGGTTGATGCCAGCTATGACAGTCTCTGTGGAAAGAGGGAGAGAGAGAGAGAGGAAAATAATAAGGGATGAGAATCAAGCCATGAATACACATCAGAATCTGTTTCGATGAATCCAATGTTCAATATTGGATTATTTGTAGTAGATAGTGTTAGTGGTATATTTCTACAGTGAGAATCATTTGTGTCAGTGGCTGTAGATAAAGCATCAATTCTAGTGGTGTTTATCATGCACAGAAGTGAATACGTCTGAGACAGAGAAGAACATGTCGCCAAAGGAGTGTGGATAAAGGAAAGGAGATGAATTGAATATATGCAGAGAAGATCGCAGAGTGAAATAGAGTGCAAAGCTTACACCGATTGGTGCTCGGGTGTGTGTGTTTAGAGGAGATGGAAACCTATGGGCAATCGTTGAAGAGCCAGTTGAAGTGGATTTTGCAATTCAGTTAATGATTGAAACTTCCGCATGTTTGTTTGTCTCTTCACACGAATACCACGTTGAATATCGTATGGTTGAGGTTTTAGCAGTGAAAGATGACAATGGAAAGCCAATCGCCAAAGTCGTGGAGCTAAGAAAACGCTGGGCTGAAGGCTTCAAAAGACTTCTTTATCGACCGCCACCTGCAACGCAGTGAATAATAGCAACACCGGAAGCACAACTGCCAGTGGACAACAACCCTCCGACGAGAACAGAAATTCTGAAGGCAATAAAGATGTATAATACCGGAAAAGCAGCAGAAATAGACGGAATCCCAGCAGAGGCATTACAAATAGACCCAGAGACATCAGCGGAATCGACGACATCACTACTGGAGAAGGTGTGGAAAGAGGGCTAGATACCTGCGGATTGGGAGAAGAAAGGATAGTTATTCAAACAGCCGGAATCAGGAGACTAAAGTCAATCGATCCCCTGCCGGCGCACACCCGATATCTATGGTCGGCCTGAATTTGGGCTACCGATATCCATTTTTTGTGCGTCGGTGGCACAGTGGTTAGGACTCTCGCCGACCATGCACATGGTCCGGGGTTCGATCCCCCGCCGGCGCACACCCAATATCTATGGTCGGCCTGAAATTTGGGCTACCGATATCCATGCTGAAAATTCCATACTTGTACTGAAAATACGGTGTGGCATCAAGCTGTAATCAAAATAAAAATAAATAAATAATAAAATACAAGAGCTGGCGTGGCAATATGCTCCTGTTCATCCCAAGCAGAAATCGAAGTCGCATTATTCTGACGAGAGAATCAAACACGTTCTAGATGAAACAATTCGACCGAAACAGGCAGTTTTCAGAAGAAACAAATCATGTATCGATCAAAGTACAAAACACTTCGAAGCATCATTGAATACAGCTTGGAATGGCATTCAGCTCTTTACCTCAAATTCATCGAATTTGAAAAGGCCTTCAGCAGGCAGCGTCGATCGAGAAGTGATTCGACAACTACTTCGCTACCACCAAGAGGGTGCCACCATCAATTATACACCTCACATAAAAGTTGTACTACAGTGCTGCACGCCAATTAATCCATAACAGGAAGCCCACGGAAGGCTTCAAAGAAGTAAAGACAGAAGTGACATAGGGTTGCCTACTATCTATAATGCTTCTCCTGATTGCTGTGGAATGGAAAATGAGACAGACAGCGGACAGCGAGGAAACAGCCATTCAATTTACGACACAAAAACCTGGAGGATCTGGACTTCGAAGAAGACGACCACAGACTGGGAGATGTGCAAGTGAAAAGCAACCAGTTGGTCGCAGAAGCATCCAGAGACGCTAGGCATTCAGGTGAACGTAGAGAAAACAGAGGTGTTGACGATTCCTGGTGATGACAGACAACAATCAGCACAAAGGCGAGAAATCAGAAAGAAGCATCCTCCTTCACCTATCAACCTGGGAAGCACCGTTTCAACTATACGCGAAATGACGAGGGTATCCAAACGAGGATCAAGGAAGCAAGGCGAGCTTTAACTTCTCTCAAGTCTGTGTTGATGTTGACAGCACTCACAATGAATAATGAGATCCGGATCATCAGCTCCAATGTGAAGTAAGTGCTACTATGCAGATCACAGACTTGGCCAGCGCGTCACGAACGGCACTTCAAACAAACTACAGACTTCCATCATTAGCTGTCTTCGCTCAACACTACTCAAGATCAGATGGCCAGAATCAATCAGCGACAGGGATCTCTGAAGGAGAACCAACCAACAACCGAGTACGCAACAAGTATGCAGGAAGTACTGGAGGTGGATTGGCTGCACTCTTGAAAAGCCAACAAGTGACATCGCACACCCGGCAATTGCTCGAGTGAAAGCTGAATAAGAAGAGGCGATTCGATCATCAGTTCGAGAATGACATGGTGGAGGTTATGTGAAGAGGAGATGAAAGCATGTGAACAGACGTTAAGGCAGGTGAAATCACTGACAGAAAACCGAATGCAATGGACACGTGCAGCTGAAGCCCTTTTGTTTTCTCTGGGAACTAAATGAAACAATAATAGTATAAATATTGAATTTTTATGCCCATACCAGCATAATTTCTAAGTGAAGTCTTTCTGCTTTCACACCCGCATATATAAAAGGCGAAAGTTCCGCATAGTAAAGGGGGATGTTCTGTATCAGGTGAAATGTGTTCACCAAACAGCTAGCAAGGATTTATGTACCTATTGACACTTATGTCTCAGCCAACAATGTTCCACATGATGTGAATCAGTCTGATTTTGCGATGTCCATTGAAGTATAAGTGAGTCGAATAATGAAGAAGAATGGGCAGAATAGATGATTTGATAAACTAGCCAGACGAAATATTTCCCTAGAAATCGGCAAGGTATGAGACGACCAGCAGAGATTCAAATAGATGGAAGCGGATACAAGAAATGTTCAGTTTTCTCCGTTTCACAGTGCCGTCAATAATAATAAGTAGAATCAGTCTGCTCGAGTCTTGCTCACTGAAATCAGCAAACTCTATGACATTTAGATGGATTTGGTTTTAGACAATTTTGAGTGAGGCTATTTGTTAACTTCAGATAAGAATCTATTCTTGTGAGAAGAATGCAATGTAGAAGATACTGGGACAGAGGTTGTTAGTTCATCAGCGTAATGAGGGAAATTAGCCTCGGAAGAATATGGTAAATCATGCGAAAGTAAGACAGAAATTGAGAATGTACAGCGCTTCGAGAAATATCAGTTCCCGTTAGTTGCGCATTCAGGTGTTGTTGATTAAAAGGAATATCTTGTCTTCTACCAAATACACTGAGCTCTACGGAAGCAAGTGGATTCACTAACACACATCTCAGTGAATTCAACAACTACTGATCTGGTTGTTAGTATTGTCATTATCACTTATTATATAAATTTGTTCACGAGAATTACATGAGGCATATACTATACACACACAAGACAACAACGACACAAACAGGCCTCAGTTTTCCATAGAAGAGAAGGCTCTTTCGTAAACGTACTTGGCATTCTTGAGAATTATGTCAGCATATTTATGTCATCATTATCAAGTAATTTTGATGTGATTCGTTACAGGATTTCATCATGAGCTGACATCAGTTAGAGAACCATTGGAAAACCTGGGAGTACTGGACAGCTGTTTCGTCCTACTCTGGGACTCTTCATCAGTGCGTACCCACCGGGGTTCGAACCCGGGACCTTCTGGTTACAAGGCGATCTCGTAGACCATTAAGCCACTGGGACCCGATCCAATGGCCCATGAATTCTAACTTCTGCCAATTCACGATATAGCGCAACCGCTAGCCAATGTCTTCGGCGAGTATTTGTCCTCACACCCAACTGGCTGCACTCTACTGGTGTGATTCTTATCAAACAGCTTCAAAACACACATAAGACATTTATGAAAGAAGACTCACAAGTAACCTTGACGAATCCCTCCCATATTTGCTTTCTCTTCAGTGGTTGGTCTGTTCAAGTCAACTATCCATTTACAGCCAGTAGCATTCACTGTAACTGAGTAATTATCATGTAAAGTGAACGAAACCGCTCCAAAACTAACATGTATTCCTCCTTAAAATAAAATAAACAAAAACACATTTTAATGGTTTACAGGAAATGTTTGAATTCGCTACAAGTAGACCGAGTTCATGAACAAAGTGAAATAATAATGTGATGATGAGAATTTGAAAGTCATAGATTCATATCTCGCAGTAATGTAGAATTTTGTTCCATCCTCGATGGTCACTCATTTTGTGTCAGTAGACGTCTGTTAGTCTATGGCTATTCCGTGAATATATCTAAACATCTTGCAAAGTAAACTATACTACAGGAAAATGTCATCCTTATCTGCAGGTTTGCAGTACTGAGGACAGATTAAATAGTGAGGAATTATCCTGAATATAGATCAATAAACTGTTTTGGAATGGATCCAACCAAAGAACATCCAGCTAGATGATACCTACGAGTTTCGAGTGGCCAGCCATGCTAGTTGTCCAGTCAGTGACCGGGACAACATCTTATAAACCATCAATTCTAACTCATTTTTCAATTCGTAACCGATGGCGTTAATGTTCAGCAATATCGCCGTTGAGAATCTGCCATCATTCTGAAATTGGTGAACGCTGCTTGGTACGACCTCCCAGTAACACTTCAATAGCATTTCAGACAGAAATTCAAAACTGAACTCTGTTGGTCACTTAAATCGGAATCAATGAAGTAGCTGGTAACCTACACCGGAGGGTTCAAATAACTTTAGTGATCCTAGGATTACTATCCCCACTCCTGTCAGCCATAATTGACTAACTAACTAACTTACACAATGACTCATTTACACACTATAACTACGATCAGTTTTTATGTGATATTTGTTTCTGCAATGAATCAACGTATTTAGTTTGACAATGGTTCGATATCAGTTAGAAAAGAGAAGGAAACCAGCAAGGCGTACTAAACAGTCAGCTGTTTCATAGTAGTTTTAGGCCGATCATCAGTGCGCACACTGAGGAATTCGAGCCTAGGTGGGGATAAGTTAGAATTCATGGTAGATTGAGCCGAGCTACATTGTTTGGATATCCTACAAGCTAGCTTGCTTAGTAAACAAAAGGTCCTTGTAAATGAATGTGAACATTGAACGTTGGTTCATTGGCCTTGATTGACATTGGTGGGCAACTCGAAGGCGCGAATGATTCGATCGTGTACAAGTTGGAAGAAGACGAAAGAATACGAATAAAATTACAATAGATTCCTTGTAAAACATTTGTTTATAGATTTTGTACGAAATATTGACTTTAATTGCAGAACAATACAATTTCTTATTGGTCCTTGTGTTTTTGAGTTAAAGTCGATAATCGTTCATAGTAATTGTCGATTCGGAGTGTCTTTGCAAATAATAGGAAATTACGGTGAAGTCCCTTGACAGTCCTGATTTCGAACCGCTGTAGTGAGAGCGTACCGCTGATTGGTTCAAAACTATGCTGAGGAAACAAATGTATAGCAATTCTCCGTGTTTTCCACCAGCTCTCCGGAATCGTGTCATTACGTGGTTCCACTTGAGAGTAGTCCACACTAAGTATTCCACAATCAAAGAAACTGTATATTTATATGTATAAATGAGTTTGCATAGCTTGGGGGATGAAATCATCTTTGCTGAGCTTTGTTTTCTACCAACCTATTGTCCTGTTGGTGAGCATTTTCTAGTGCATACTAAAAATATTCAGGTCGACAAATTTCTAAAGAAATAAAAGAGTCTCACTTTATCATGCTCCACGTGCAGGATATGTCATATTCGAAGAACCAGTATGCAGTAATTTGCAGTAACTCAGTGAATTCGCTTTCATATTATTTCGACAGCTTTGTGTAGTCAAATAAAAAATTTCTGGGGACTTCATACTTTGACTAACTTAGATTGTTCTCAGTTCATACGAGAGACTAATAGTTGAATGATTGGTCAATGTGCTTGACAAAAATTTAGGCGAATACAGGTAATGGATGAGACTTTGAGAGTAGGTTGGTTAGTCCGTCCATTATATGTGAATTGATAAATAGTTATATTTCCCAACTTCAAATGTGTACTGCAGAAGTCACAAAAGAAAACCATTTGGCTGATGATGAGGCGAAATATATTATCGCTGACATTGCATGAATAGGTATACGAGCTTGCACAAGACAGTATGCTAGAAATTAAAATATAGCAGTTCGTTACTGTCACGCTGAATACTTGCTCACCGCAACCACTCTTATAATTGGTATTCTTCTCTCGGGTTCCAAATTGAAGATACTCCCTGAACTGCACAACTCCGAATCGTCCCATTAGGTGTTGTTCTCCTCGTCATGGCCTCAGAATTGTCCATAATCTCTTATCTCCTAAACTCACACCAACTCCTCCATGTCAACCCTTGACACATGAACATATTGCGACATCACATATGCCGGTCTCAAAGTGTGTCCATATCTTTCCGCAGATTCTTTGAAAAGTAGGTTCTTCGTAGGCTTGTTCCAACAGTTTCATCTTCCTAATCATTTCAGGAGCACCATCAAATCTTCGGTAAGTGGTCAGGAGACGGCTGCAGCTGGTTGTTCGAAGTATTTGCCGTGATTTGTTCGCCAATTTCTTGACTCATATGGAAGACGCCATCGACTAAACACTGGTGTTCAAAATCCGAAGGATGTTCTTTGCACTGAAGCGGTGAGTTGCCGATCTCCACACTGATTTCAGAGTGAGGAAGATCTGCAACGGAATTACAATTCTGCTACTGACATCCTCATCAATCTCAGCTGCCTGTAGTTGGAAGGATGCTGCCTAGCCACGTGGGGGATGGAAGCGACCGCTTTCAAGTTTATCCCGCTGAAAGTGATCGCTGCTTGTTGTTGCCATGAGTCCATCGGTTATCTTTCTTATCTCCATTTTCTTTGTCTTCACTTGTTATCCTGTATTCTCCGTTTGCTTCTCTTGCCTGTTTGTTGAATTTCACCTGATTGTCTTCGAGTTTGTTTGACATTAGAAATAAACCATCCCCGCGTGGATACGACATCTCCTACATTACCCTCGCTGGTAAAGCCTATCCCTGTCATCACGTTCTTCACACCTTCGCTTAACGCATAATCCCGTCCGTCAAGATGAGGAAAATCATCGACGGAAGCTGACAGGCAGCCTCATCTAACTGCTGTCATCAAGTCAAAGTCGAGCTTCACTCAGGTCTCTTGTGAATCAGGTGGCGCGTGGCAACATCATGTAGCTGTTGATTGAGCAAACCATCATGCCGAATGAAGAGATCTATTCTGAAATCGGTGGGATAACCACTATGGATCGTGAAGTGATATCAGTTAGAGAACTGTCGGAAAAGGAGAATTATGTGACAAACACTTGGTCGCAGTCTGATGCTATCTAGCGGTATGTACCCATCATCACATTGAAAGTGGAACCAATAACTTCTAGGTGACGAGATGATCTCAGTGACTATTCATTCACTAGAACGGAATCCAGTGGCCTATGAATTCGCACTTTTGCTTATCGGCAATAAATACCGTTATCCAGCGTTCTCCAATTTCATCACCAGTGAGTACATGTTCTCACAGTGGTCAGCTATTCTCACCGGAATTGCAGGTAACTTATCCTGCAATCAGTAAGTCAGTCAGTCAGTCACCAATGAGGAGTATCATGATTTACGAGGGTGATTTGTCGGAACACAGAATAACCAGGGAAATCATTATAACTTCAGTTATTTACACACAGAATAAATTTTAATTACCTGTTTCCTCAATTATGAAGGGAAACGAAAATTCCGGTAATTGAATCTCTCCAGTATTGACAATGCACAGACTTATGAGTAGGATAAGGTTCAGTTTTGTTCTCTGGGAGACCATTTTACTAAAATTAAATAAACAGTGGGGAAAACAATGACATTCAATTTGATGCAATTTGAAATGGATGACAGTGAGTGACTTTTACAGTTGCTTTGCATTCCGAGTGAGACATACAGATTCTATAGCACATCTTACAATTTGGTATTATCTAGGGTCCTCTGCAGTCTAGGCAGATGATTGAATGTTATCTCTCATCTTCTCCAGTCCGTACAATTGCCATAATTGCATCGTCAGACAAACGCACAACTCGAGCGATAGTCTGAAGCGCAAGAGATGACATAAATATTAATAGACGCATGAGGAGCATTCTTGATTATAGTATGTTGTACACTCTTCAGGCTAGGTGGGTATTCGTTAAGGAGTATGCGGATTACTCTTCTGATGCCGATGAACTGGAATGTTTAGTGAATGAAATTTGCAGGTCAATTCTACGCGGTCCAACTAGGTAAAAAACTGATGAGGGGCTTTAGTCACTTCGAACACTTTGGCCATTGACCCATCCATCCAGCCAGAAAGCATTAATGATAAACATTTACTCATATCAATAATTAAGCAGTATATAGATTCATGCATTCATGGTTGACTATACAATCATATCTACAGATAATGTATTTAATGGAAGCAAGATTCGGACTTCTGTGCTTTCAATGATTTGGTGATTGGAGGCGGCGTGTGCAAGCATTATCATTTAAAAAGAAACATCGATTTTGCCTGCCGGACATATCCTAAACCAAATAGATTTCATGTAAATGGTGCTCATGTAAGTGGAGATGCAGACTGCAGGATACAGAATCGAGAATAGGAGCAGATGTGCACATAGTCAGTTATCTAGCTAGTTGAAGGAAGAAGCTTTAATGTGAAGCTTGAATCCCTGAAAACAAATGGAGATATGCAGTTGTAATTCAACTTCAACACTCAGAAACTGAAGGTCAAAATTACAAGGGATGCCCTCACTACAGTTCACATCAGATCAGAGCAATTTCGCAAACCCTCCATGGTAACAGTGAGAAACTCGCTGAAGAGGCCACTGGGTGACATAGTGCGTCAGGCCAACGCTCGAGTGGAACCCGGAAGGGAAGCGGCGATTGGGACATCCAAGGGTGACATGGAGAAGATCGTGTGAAGAGGAGCTGAAACAGCATGGACTAACATGGATGCAGGTGAAAAGTACAGCAGAAGACAGAAGCAAGTGGAGACGTGCAGTTGAAGCCCTATGTTCCACTAGGAACCCAAGGGAACAATAATAATAATGTAATAATAGTGAGAAAACCTGCGTGGAAAAAACACTGGAACTAACTCGCTGAAGGCTTAATTCAAGGAAACGTGTGCGACTGTTCTAGGATAAGGAAGAGACGAGACAACAAATGGTTCTCAACGGATACCTACCCGGAAGCTAATAGGATAGAGGGGAGGAGGATGGTGAGAGAAAAGATGACTCCCTGCAGAGATGGTCAACAGAAGGAGAAAATGAGTTAAATGTACGTCGCGCTGACTAAAACAATGAAGAAGACCACTGGAAAGAAAGACAAATGACAACTGCTCAGCATACTGACTGGCAAATGAAGCAGAACCGACTACAGGCAAAAGAGACAACAGGACATTATATCAGGTAATCAGGTCAATCTGAATCCTGGAAGAGATCAACCGAGATGATGAAATCAATCAATCAATCGTAATGAAGCTTCTGTAGCAGCTTTGTATACATGGTGCAGTTACTAGGCTCATGCTCGAGAAGAGGGTTGTTACATAACATATCTAGGTAATATAGGGGCGACCTTTTGGATTGCTCCCCTCAGCATCAGGAAAACAAGGAATTAAGCAACCAGAACAATACCAGCAAAAGGAAACAACAGTAAGAGCAGCGAAAACAATAACCCTACGTGTAAATAAGCTTATTCAAAACATCGTCGTTACCTTCAATTGATTACTTCACGTACAAGGACTATCGATTTCAGTTTAAGACGACCACCACGAAGGCAAAGAGACAGTGAAATAAAGTGTAATGAATTATAGTGCATTGATATTCATTAAAAGAAAAGGGTTTCGAGGCACCAAAAGAATTGCAAAGAAATGTCGGGAATACTATTGTAAAGAAACAATATTGAAAAAGTGGAATTTCGAAACAACAAACAAGTGGTAGAGAATTCTAAAAAATAGGATAAGCCAGAGATTAAAACCCCAATGCATTGAAATATGGATGAATTTTGCCAATTATTAAAGAATGAGCTCCCTATTTTCCAAAATTCTGAGTAGAAAATAGTCAAAACTATTATCACACCTAATTGAGATTATTGAAGACGAGGAGCAACACATTGGCAGAGGAATCAGCCAGCGAACATAGGACTTCAAGAGAAAACACAGAGAAGTTCGAGGAGAAGAAGGATCCGACCAATCAGCGACGAAGATTACTAACCAACTAAATAATCAGCCAACCAGGCAACACCACCAACAAGCATCAATCACTTTCAGCGGAATTAATTTGGAGGATGTCAACTTACTTCAACTACACGTCTACTTGTAGTTGAAATGACCTTCATTTTCACTACAGACTTTCGGAATGGATGAGGATGTCAAAGCCAAATCTCATCGGGAATTTATGACGGACCCTCATTTTAGCCTTTACATCAATTCAGAAATCTTCCGCACTCCACCTGAGCATAAACATCAAGATGAGGATTTTCAATACCAATGTTAAGTCAGTCAGTTGTTCTATGTGGGTCTTAAACTAGACAAGTGAGTCACGAATAACATTTTCGACAATCAGCTGCACACATTCATCAACACTTGGAACCTAAAGCAACAACAATGATAATAACAAACCAAAAAAATCAATCCAAGGGGTGTGCGTCGGTGGCACAGTGGTTAGGACTCTCGCCGACCATGCACATGGTCCGAGGTTCGAGCCCCTGCCGGCGCACACCCGATATCTATGGTCGGCCTGTGAAATTTGGGCTACCGATATCCATGCTGAAAATGCCATACTTGTACTGAAAATACGGTGTGGCATCAAGCTGTAACTAAAATAATAAAATAATAATAATAACTGATTCAGTCCAAACGTCGTCGGTGAAACCTTCAGCAACGGTTCAACGCTCTTTTTTCATGTCTTTTGAGAATGCTTCAGGTTGATTGGACATCATTCTGAACCACATTATCAGCTTGTCTGAATATTATGGGCTGGCTCATTCTTGGTATTCGCCGGGATGTAAAAATGAAACTGGAAGGTCATTCATTGCCTATATACACACATTCACATATATAAATACATATATTTGTGATTTGAAGAAATTATCACGTCTAGTATTGAGTGGAGTTGAGTTTATTCTTCAGACAAAACCACTTATCGTCCTATGTCAATGGACGTGAACATTGAACGTTTGTTTGTTGGAACTGGCAGCCACTGGCGGGCAACTCGAAGGCGCGAATGGTTCGATAGCGTGCAAGTTGGACGAAGGCGGAAAGAACACGAATAAAAGTACTTTATAACTTGATTTGTACTAAACATTTGTTTGTAGACTTTGTATTTTGTCTTGCTTTAATTGCCAAACAATATAAATTCGTTCAAGGAATACTGGTGTTTTGGATTTTAAGTTGAAATAAATACATAGTCTTTATCGGTTGAAAGCGTCTTCGTTACAATAGGAACTTAGGGCTAAGTTCCTTGACATCCTGCCTACGGACTCACACCCCCTCAGCCACATCGATGCCATCTGTTCTCGACTAAAGGAAGTGACAGAGAGTCTTTTGCACAGCGGTTGAAATTCTTGATGGATTATCTTACGATGAATGAACACCACTGGAGACGCATGCCACTACTGTCATACGTAAGGGGATAAATGATTTCATTATAGAGTTAAACAGAAGTCTAAATACAACAACTGAGGAAACAGATTTTCATTGCTGCCTGGAAAATGTCTGTCTCCGATTATTCCATTGGATCACTACTACTACCAACTCAAATGCGAATCGATGTGCTTGACGACTTAAATTTAGAGGTGTGCCGTCAACGGTTGATGAATCAGCAATAAGCTGATCTATACTGTATCTCGTGTCTGCATTAGATAGAAAAGACAACCCCATTTCCCAACTGCTTTGTCTAGAGAACACCAAAATCAGTTGCATGAATTACGGAGTTGGAATATGCGGTGATGACACACTCAATTGAAGTTTCTAGAGTAACGCCACTTGACACAACCCTCAGATTTAATTGAACAAAGTCTCAGGAATTGCACACAATATTAACATTATTTTCCAAGAAAGACTTATCAAAAAGAATCTCACGATGACCAGACAGAGCTACAAGTTACAAAGATGTCAATCAAAGAACAGCATAATCGACTTCGTCTATGTGGTTTTACAATTCCATACGAATGTACAGATAACATAAAGTAGGCTAACTTGTTGTTCTTATCTGCCCAACACCAGACACGATAAATTGTTACTTACGGAGGGGGTTGGTCTAGATATTTGGTCCAGTCTTTCACTGACCGAGGAGACTGTCCAGACACAATCTCTGCAACATTCCTGCGTATATTGTGTTTTTCGGTAACGAGAATGTGAATCCCTCTCAAAACGGTAAATACATATTATAAACAGCATATCATAAGAATAGTTATACCAGTGAAACTCACCCACAATATGTGTTGAATAGTCACTATCTAACTTGACACTGATGGTATATTGTTTTTCGACTATTTATACCACTAACACATGACACTATTTTTTCATTGGTTACTCACAATAACCAATCAAATATTGACTGATTTTCTTGGTTTGCTTTGTTCGGATGAAACATAATGGAGTTACAATTAAGTTTCACCGGATTGGGGAAAAGCCTTAAACACAAAACAGTGAGGATATTTAGAAACACACGTTATAAAATGTCTTTAACATAGCCATATCCATTATTCGATATTATTTCAACTAAAAATTACAAGAAGCAATTTGATGGATGGTAACTAGCCGTAGAATCGACGATATGCTTGATCCAATTTGCACGAAAGGTGTTGGTTGTCGTGGTCTGATCATTCTAGTGGACAACGCATTCACCTTTGAAGAGATCCGTAATAATTTTGAGGTCTTAATTGGGACAGCACCACCAATTTGCATATATATGCGATGAGTCCTGAATAGGGCAAAATGCCAATTGTGGATATGATAGCATTGGCAGAATGCATCCCCTGTATGTGGTTGCAATTAGACGTCGGGAGTTATATGTATCAATATGGCATTGAGTCGGAATTCACTGGATGAAAGGTACAGGAACAAGCCTTCCTTGTCACCACAAGGCCCAAGTTCAAAACCTCGGTGTTGACTGTGACTACCACTGAGTCGAAAACTAGGATGACGAAACAGATTACTGGTTGAATGCTGATCAAATTGACTGTTTAGTAAGTGGAATTATACGCAGTGGATACTCTAGATTGCAATACAAAAGACAAGCACATGTGAATGACTGATTGAGGTGGATAGTTGTGTGCAACACAGACGAACTCAGACAAAAATCAAGCATTAGTGCTTGCCAGCTAGCTGACTAGCTATACTGAATTGATCTTTACCACACAGACGCCATTTCACTCATTTGGGAGTCAGCACTTCGCGACTCTAACTCCACTCAGTGAGACAACTTATTTCGAACACACCACCGCCTAGAATATTCGAGGTGAATTTAACCAGGCATAAAACTGACCAGCGTGTCTCCAAAGAAGCGAGATATCCATCTGTGTAATAGATAACTTCGATCATGCTTGCTGATCAGCCAGTCAGCCAGCCAGCCACCCGGACAGCCAACATCACTGGTATAAACTACTCATCTCAATAAATCAGTAGTATATATCGTCGTGAATTCATGGTTCACTGTACAATCCTACCTATCTATAGATGATATATAATAAAACAGCGGTCGAAATAGAAGAGATTCTGAGAGCAGTGAATCACATCACTAACAGTGAACTCCTGCAAGCATATGACAGAGGGAGGAATCCCTCGATTGTGAAGAATCATTGAGTTGGTGACAAAATTGTACCAAATTCGAAATGGTTTTCAGTTTGATGAGATGTTGACATGACTGACTGTTACACGCGAATTTTGTCTTAAGTAAATTGTATAGCCTCAAAGAACTACTTCTTAAATGCACTATGAATGTTCTCTCTCCTTTCAATAATTCATACTATCGACAAGTAGATGGAGTAGCTATGGGTTCACCATTAGGCCCAATATTAGCTGACTTCTTTCTCGCAAAACTTGAAAACGGGAAATTGAAGGACATCATGAAAGAGTTTGATATGTATTACCGATATGTCGATGATACATTTATCTTGGCTGATAGAAATGTTAACATAGACGAACTGTTGCTGAAATTCAACAACATCCACTCTTCGCTTACCTTTACTTGTGAAGAGGAGCAGGAGAATAAACTACATTTCCTGGATGTCTCGCCAAGTAGGAGAGAAGATGGGTCACTTGGGAGAAGCGTGTATAGAAAAAACACTTTCACAGGGAAATACACACACTTCCTTAGTTACGTGCCCATTAAATATAAAAGGAATGTTGTAAAATGTCTTGCGAGCAGAGCAAGAAAGATATGTACAGATGACCTCTTACAAAAGGAATTTGAATATATTCACGATTCCTTGATGGAGATGGGCTATCCGAGTAGTTTCATAAAGAAACATATGAAAATATCGGAGAAGAAATCGGAGACTTTGACTGCACGTAAGGAACCTCTATTTATTATGTTACAATTTAATGGTGACTTATCAAGTGAGATTCTATTCCAAAGACTTTCAAAGAGTATACGAAGAACATTTTATGCAGCACACCTATGTTTGTCATTCTCCAGCCGACGAATGATTGGGACGCAAACGAAGGATAAGCTTGATAGTTTTGCCACATCTATGTGCATTTATCAATTCAACTGCACCTGTGGTGACAGTTATATTGGGCGTACTACTAGACGGCTTAGCCAACGTGTTAGTGAACATCTCTCATCGTGGTTTGGCAAAGGACAGACAAAAACAATCCGTAGCTCAATTTTGTCACACTTAATTGATAGTGGTCATGTAATCGAGAAAATGGGAGCCTTCAAAGTAATTCATCGTATCCCACCAAACCTTTCCAATAGACTTCGTATTCGTTTATTGCACACAGCTGAAGCGATAGGCATTCGAACTATTAAACCGTAACTATGTATTCAAAAAAAGTTCGTACAGCCATTATCCCTCCCTTGGCCTATTAAGACATAACCAACTAATGACTTCTACACCACCCCTTACTTACTTATATTTTCAACCCCTTTCTTATCATCCTTCAATCTTATCTTCATTATGAACGTGTTTCATTTCATTCCCTTACAATCTAACATTACTTAATCGGTTCATTTGTTTTTACTAGCCTTTATCGACTACTTCCACCTGAACAGTTGTTTGTTTAATCATCCTGTTTTTCATTATTCATTTTATCACAGATTGCCTCACTTTTTCATCCTCATTATTCATAAAACCATTATTATTATCATGACTAAATGTACAATTTAAATTCACCATCGTATTATCCTATAGAAAAAACGCCATGATTGGTTTACATTTGAATTTTTATTCGTAAACTACTATATATATTAAAATTAAGCCAGATGAGATCTAATCGAAAATAATATTGTTCGCTTAAGTGCATTGTTCTAAAAACAAATTCCTCAAATCACTCACTATTACAAGTTCAATCGACTGATTGTCAATACTGGCTTTTAGTGTTGTTAGAAAATCACTTCCATAGTTAAGTTTGAACTCTCAAAGTTATCACATGATTCAGTGGGTCGTGTCTTCCAGTTGACTGATCTGTCACTTCTGTTGATAATGATGATGATAACAATGTCATGTGAGATGTGAGTTATGATTTTTCTGACACGTTCGATTTGATGAATTGCAGCCTTCTGTGTCAACACAAGCTGACATGACAATCAGTCGTCGTTACTTTCAATTGATTATCTCAGTGATGATGGCGACTATCGATTTCAGCTCATAACAATGATGATCACGAATGAAATGAGGCAGTGAAATTGAATTCGGAAGGGAAATACAAAACAACAACAATAACAACACTGAATCAGTGGAAATTCGAAACACCAGTCAAGTCTTACAGAGAATTCTAGAAATTCAAGTGGTCACATGAGGTCAGAGATTAACGGACACTCACATTGAAATATGTAGATGAATGAAGAAGCATTAGCTAGCCAACTGATAGGAGATTAAGTCAAACTCTGAGTCGAAAATCCTCAATGCAACTTCACATTGACGACGTTATACAAAACCCGTTGACAAGAGATACAACTGTGGTGACAGATGGTTGCTAGCCAAATTGGTTGACAGTAATTGAGATCAATGTTTGTGTATCAAATATTAGTCAGGTGAAAACAAGGTCAAAGATGGACAGCAGACAGTTAACATATAGATGTACTGACACAGACACAAAGAGATGCAAGGTTAACTTTGTGTGAGAAACAACCAATCAAAAAAGACTGTATTTTCTACTAACATTAATCTACAATAACGTATATTAAAATCTAAAAATATGTGTTGATTTTCCTTAATAAACTTTCTGTTGCCTGACTCTTGCCTTCTGTCGTCACACAACTACATCATTGTTCATGGAGAATTCAAATTCAAATTACTGCACACTGTCTATTCACGTTTACACTGAAGATATCTCGAGATAGACTATGAAAGCTTGTCCAGTAAACCACTCACTTAGAAAAAAGTGCAATCACCCACACCCACCTCAACTACAAATCTTCTCTATTGTAGTTGTATGGTTAGCATACAGGAGAGATTATGTTGTATATAGAAGCCCTATCATCAGGAACATGATATATTGATAACACTGCTCATTGGTGACTAGAAAATAGTTTCCGATAGGTATATCAGATTTCAGTTGTGCCTCTGGAAAGTTCTTTACGTTGTTTGAACATCATTATTACTATAAATGACGATCCATGGTATCAAACAACCGCTAGATCACGACACACTTCGACCTAATCTGAAAAAAACTATGAATAATGAAGTGGTGCACTATTCATGTCGGACACTTACATACAAGTGATACAGGGAAGTCATTCCTGAAATGCTGAATATTTCGGTGGGGATTAAAATGCATGACTATGACTAATATTGTTTGTGTTGTCAAGTTGTCAGGCTGAAAAGAAGATTTCTTCTGATTTGACTAAGTTGGAGCCTCTTGACACTCTTCAGTAAGGCGTATCTACAAGCTTCATGGAACTCATATCGTCTTTGGAGTTTACAAACTAGTCACCCAGTGTTACAGTTAGAGACTTCACCAATCATCTATTCGTGGTTATGATTCACCTCGTGTAGGACAGCTTTTGAAAATAAATATTTTCTGAATGCTGAGAATTGACTGAATTCCAACTGTTGTGCTATTGAAGTAGTTAGTATTCAAAGGATTCAGCCTGTAGACTGACCGTCATTTCACCGAATGGCTAAACAATAAACAACACACTTGTACAATAGCCTAATCGAAGGCGTACCAGCCCCTACAGAACAAACTATGATCAGCCATTTATGGAGGGGGTACAAGCTCAATTTGAGAAAAAACAATCCGATTTGGAATATGTGGAATAATGGACATGCCTGTGTATCGAAT